TCCAGAGTCAGTCATTTGACAATTACAAGTTCTAAAGTAATCATAATATAAACCATATACGATTGGTTATTTTAGAGCTTGCAATTGTCAAATGATTGATTATTTTAGAACTTGTAATTGTCAAATGACTGACTCTGAAGAGGGGCTATAATTACGTAATAAGTGATAGCTCCCTAATAATTTAAAAGATAACCTTTTCTGATTACAGCTTTAATTAATATAATTATATATATAGTGAAACTCTTTTATATCCCCCTATTATACCCTCACTTGATAAAAACCTTAATTATATCTCATAAATTTCAAAAAATGGTCTTTTTAAATATATTTATATATTTAGTTATATCCCACCTTGGTTATATCTCTTTAAAAATTAAAAAACATATATATAAAAAAATGTGTTAATATAAAAGAGGTTTTGCTGTATTTGTATGTTTATTTATTACCTTATATATTTTTTAAAACATACCCTGACATCTCAGATTATCATTCTAGAAAATAACAAAATTTTCAAAACCAAAACATATACAAGTTCCTATTATTTTATAGAATGCTGTAATTTCTAGATAAAAATCAAATTCAAGTAGTATTCAGCCTTTATTCTAATGAAATACAAAGGATTAGAAGTTGAATATTGCTCGGATTTGATTTTCATTTGGAAATTGTCAGAATTCTATGAAAATAGCCGGATCTGATAATCACTTCGTAGACACCACATTTCACCGACAATTACTTACTGACAAGTTCATTTCACTGACAGCTTATTTCATCGAAGCTCGTTTTACAAACATAGTAATTCTGATCAATATCAATAGGGTCAGGTTAGAATTAGAGTTAAAGTTAGTGTCACAGAGTTTACCGGACTACCATGTACTTCTTTGACTTTATTATAAGTCTTTACTCGCTTGGCTAATATATACGATGACTGGAGTATCGTACCAGATACTACCACCGATAATGTATTCACACCAATAAAACAGTTTATTCACTAAGAATAATTCAAAGAAATATCGGGAACCAAAGTTAGGCACTTCCCCATTTGGATCGATGCCTTATATATTATTACTAATCGCTAATGATTACTACATTGTTCATGCAATCACTATTTTAGACTTTTAATTAAATCGTGATCACCCGATATAGATTACGCATTAATTAGATAACGACATTAGATCAACCGATCACCAATCACATGGGTATCGCGCAGCACTGTGACAGTTAGTGTAATTTATAAAAAAAATCTTGTCTATTAAATGGGCTTCGGTGAAATAGACTGTCGGTAAAATAAACTTGTCGGTGAATAATTGTCGGTGAAATGATATCCGAATTCTTCTAATAGATATGTATAAAGAATGTCATTTCGGCGGATTGGCGGAATTGGACCTTTTTTAGATCATCTGAATTTGAACCCTATTCATTCAATTAATCTATGTCATTCTCTGATATACTAACTGATATCCGTATAATTTATTAATTTGATATAATTATTATTACCCTTAAAATGATTAATTTAGGGTCTGATTAAAAGGGCCAATTCCCCGATCCGCTGAAATGTATTTACATCTAATACATGATAAACCAAACTGAACCTAAATTACTAAACTTTATTCCTTTGATAAAAATTAAATTTTAGCTATTATCAATTGTATTGAAATAACACTGTGAGGATCAAATTCTATAAGTGAGGGTTGCATCTATTAAAGCTGCTATAGTAGATTAATTAATTGTTATATATTAAAATAACAATTCAGACCACTGCTTTGTCAAAATTTAGTGAAAGTCATGTAGAGCATAAATAAAATTATCATGAAATGATAGAAAATAAATATTAAAGTTTACACATTTTTCGAAATACATCTATTTATTAGAATCAAGGATGAATGCAAATTCATTCTATTAATAATTTAATTTACCAATTTTCTAATGTTTATAGCGTTGCATAAAGCTTTGACAAGTAATATTTACTAATCCTTTATTGTTTATAACACTGCCCTAATTTTTATTAATGATTCTATAAAAAAGCAGTTATATTTTTATGAACAAATGCAACTACACTTCTTAATTTTTTTTAACATGACTGTATAGTTCAAGATGAAATCAGAGGTTTCACGCTGAAAATGCAAACCCTAATTTCATCTTTTGTTAATTAATTTTTAAATGTCAAAATGACGAACCTGATGAAAATTGATGAAAATGACGAACTGATGAAAGGCGATTGAACTGATAAAGATTAGCAAACTGTGAAACTGCGAAATATGACAAAGCTGATAAAAGATGAGGAAATAGATGAATATGTTATTGTTGAAACACATTAAATGAATAGAGATAACATTATTCATGCATAAATTGATTGATTTATGTTTAATAAATTTACGCAGATTCATTTAGTTTTTTTGTTTATTTTAAAAAACAAGATCTTAATAGATTCCAATATCTATGAATTGACTGAGTGTCTACTGCATCCTGTAACCAGATCTTAAGTAAATGCACATACTACCTAAAATACAATAACATGCATATAATTAAGACAAAATTTTGTTCTCATAAATTAAGTATTTCACGTCCTCCAAGGAGAAAATGTATAGAGATAGAATATAACATTCATATAAAAAAAAAGAAATTAATGCTGTTTTCTCGGAAAATAAATATCACGTGTAAGGCCGAATAAGCACAATTTCCAAATCCATTAAATTACACATGTTATATTAACTCGGCTTACAACATCAATTCACGCATCCATCCTCCTCATTGAAATAAGATAAGATATTTTGGTATAGCAGCCTGGATTTGACACAAGATCATTAAATTAAAAGTATTGGCGTATTATTGCATAGCAACCAATAAAGTGCATACCTCTTCACGTTCAACTATGAGAACTGATTCATAATATCTAGCAACAACATCGACAACAAACATTGCATTTGTAGTTGAATAATATTTGTCATTATAACAACTATACATAAGAGATGTGTTGCAATAATTATATGATGTTGATGAACTGTTGGCAAACCACATATCTTATGAAAAAAAAGACGTATTAACGTTAATATTAATTGAATAAATTAAACAGAACAAAAAAAAAACTATGACTACTTACGGTGGCGATTAGAAGCACATTTTATTTTGTTACCTTCTTGCACGATTCCACATACACCACAACCAGATTTACAAAATTCAGCTCGTGGATTTGTGATAAATCGTTGGGAATCACATAAAGATCTTGTGCCATGGAACATCCTATGTGTTAGCATACCATAATTCTGTTTCTTATATTTTTCATGAGCTTCTACAAGCTTAGTTGGCATATCTAATTTCAATATTCCAAGAATAGTGCGGTAAGGAAGTCCCGAGAGAAAAAATCGGTTAATGGATAGATAATCCGCATCATCGATCGGCAGCAACGTAATTTTAGTCTTATAAATTTTAGTATTTAAGGTTCCAAATGAAGAGATCGAATCAGTGTTTGCGGTTCTAGATAAGGAGGTCTGTTTATTTCGGTGATATTATGTGTTTAGCTTTTATTTGTCTAAAAGAAATTTCATCATCCTTATTTTGTGTGGCATTCTTTTAAAATTTTATACTCGTATAAGCGAGAAATAACGATCTTGAACGTTAGGGTTTTTAAAAAATATCTCAAATTAGCACCCAATCAATATGCATCCATAATTTATTGAATTCAGAAAAGTCAACTCTTATTTGAAGTAACGCACATGGACGTACCAAAAATACCGTTCAGGTGAGTGTTATTTCGCGCTTATACATAGTTGTGGTCTATCTATGAATCTAACATTCAAGTAAATAGAATATTTGTGCAATTTCCAAAATAAGGGTCGTATGTTTTCATATTCAAAATTGGTGAATTCTGCTTTCTGCAGTTCAATACGTTGAAGACCATTTTTATATGAGGCATGATTGACACCCAAACTATAATTTCTTTTTAATGATGTAGGATACTAAATTTTTCTATAGAAACCTCATCATAATTCCTGTAGAGTTATAGCCTATTCTTCTCAATATATTAGCATCTCTACTTATTAAATTTAGTTTACTTACCCGTCTAGTTTTTGATCTTATTTTGAGTAATAGGCTAGTTCCCAAAAAAATAAGGCAGGCTAGAAAAAGTCCTAATTGTTCAAATGAAGTTAAGATTGTAAAAAAACAGATGGTTTAAATAAAGATTTAAATTTTAAAACTGCGTACCAATAATAATAATTAAAACAGGGCGTTGCATACAAATTTTGCCAAGATATTTAGCATGAGTAATAATTGTTAAGTGCTCTTTTATCCAGTCATCAAAAGAATTTATATTAAAAAGAGAGGTTTTAATTTGGCAGAAAAGGGAGCGTTTTGGATTTTTTGGAACTACATAGGTATTAGTTTTGTAACCAATCCTGAAAATAAGCTTTCAGTAAATAAAACTGTATTTCATGTTGCAAATAAAAAATAAAACTATATTCAAGTAATGACATGGAAATTCACAAGTTAAAACATACGATTCATCGATAACCTTAACATGATCATCAGATCTCAAGTTTTCCAACGCAAGTTGAGCGAAAGTTTTAAAATCTTGGTCAGTATCCTGAAGTGGCTATTAAACTGTTAGTTACATTTATTATATTTAAGTTTAGAGTTATTATATTTAAGTACTTACTAATTTTTTGTTACGAAGTAGAATAAGGAGATTCTGAAATAATAGAATTTCACGATTATCACATTCGCATTCATTTTTACCAATTTCTTCGATAATAATACTTTTAAGTAGTCTTGTATATTCTTTAGCTCTTCGCTCACGATTATGGTCAAGTATGCATCTACTGGTGAATGGTTTGAGCCAGTGAATAGAAGAAGACACTAACTCGAAACCTTCATCACACGAATTGACTTTACCATTTGAGCAATGGGCGTACGGTGGGCAGGGAATACAATTATTCTCAAAAGAATAATCTATAAGTTAAAGATAACTTAATATATACATATAATATTATATTTTTGAGACCACATACTATCGAGTCTTACTTTCGGTATTCTCTAGTAATTGACTATCACAGAAGCCAGCTCCCATTTTAGAATATTTGATTAATGAACCAAATATTAATATTACAAATATTGCTACGTAAATAATTTTCCTTCCTCGAAGTGGTAATTGTGATTTTATTAATTCGAGTGGATTGAATTTCCCATAAATCACCTTATTTTGACTTTTATCGTTAACCTTTGAATATTCAATATTCTTTGACGTAGACGCCACTTTAGAAATGAGTCTATCTGACTACATCATACAAAGGGAAAGATATGTTGTGAATTCCATTGTATAAATAATTTTATTTTAAAACCAATTCAAAAAATATTTTGGTACATGTGAAGATGTCCCGGAAGACGTAGCTATATTTTCACTCAATGACTGATTATTCATTTCTTTTTCTCGTAAAGATGGCACGAGTGGTCGAATTTGTGTATTAAATATTTTTACGAGACCTGCTTTCTTTTCTTTGCCAGTGTAACTTATATCATGCGTATCCAGAATTTCTCGTAACCGGGCCATGGTAACTTTCTGAGGTAGAAAGTTTGGATTCATATAATAATCCTTATTCGATTTCATTTTTAGTCAAGAAAATAGTATGAAGGATTGGTCTTATTATTATAACCTCCTCTATTAAACAATCGTTATGAAATGAGAGTTTTTATGATGATAATCAAAATAAGTTTCCAAAAGAATTATTTGTGACCTTGTAAATAAATGTAAATAAATAAGTAAATCAGTTTATTTATGTTAATTTTTTTCCGGAAATATTGTACGAAACTCCGGGAATGTATTATTAATTAAACGTACATATAGAAAAATCCAAGTAGAAATGTTGTATTGGATTCCTAATTAACTACTATTTACGTCGATGTCATTTCTTGTCGATACCATCGGTTTTAATTCCAGAAATCAGAGTCGAAGTTGAGTTCAATTCAAAGAATCTATTAAAAAAACTACAATACTGTACTTTTTTAATAGTATCTCTTGACTAGTTAAGCTAAATAATCACTGCTATTTTCATAAATGACTTTCTGGTACTATTATTTTCATTAACAAATTACCCGCTTACTAGAGGCATAAAATTATTCATTTTTTTAAATTTTTTTTTAAAAAAACTTTTTCATTTTGTACGCATATATAGTTTATTTCGGGGTGTAGTAGTAGGTTTCGGCTAACCGGTTTGATATCAGGCGTAATATTAATAGTAACGCAAAGGAAACACAAAAGACTAAACAATCAAGAAATTGATAATGGCTCTACATTTTGCTCATGAGACTGCCTTCTGCGCACTAACAAAAAACTTTGCTTGCGAATTTTTGATAGTAGTAAAGCTTCTTTTAATTTGATCCAACAGCAAAATCTAACCTTAATATAACGGCTAAAAATCTTTAAGTAGGTTGGTGATTGCCTGGTTCAAATTCTACTGTGAAGCAGATTGGATGATTCGTAGACATTAAAAAGTTATACACTGTAAAAGCACTTTTGACCATCAAATAGTAATAGTACACTCCATTTGGTACATAATTCGTAATTTGGATCTAGCCTCTTTCTTCATTATTTCTTTCAGTAAGATCATTCGTCCGCAAAATTTAGCAGTGGCAATAGTTCAATGTACGCACGTACAGTACGTATTTAGTAAAAAGTCTAAAATTATGATGCGTATAATTATTCTTTTCAATTTTGTTGGATCGATGATTTGATAAAAATCAATACAGTGAAGCCCCTTAAGTGTACCCTCCAACTTCTACATGTGCAACGGCCCGGGACTATACGTGCACCCTCTATAAATTCGCACGTGACTAACAAACGTTAAACCTGTAAATTTGTCGGATATTCTCAGAGAAGTAGATAATAAATTAACGCGTGCACTTAAGAGATGTTTCACTGTAAAACAGCAATGCTGAGCTATAGAAAGAAGTACCTTTGCCGGTTGTTTAAATACTCGAGTATTTTATTATGGGTTGGTAAATGTAAAGAGTGAGATCGGAAAAATGTTGCCGAAAAAATGGCCTTTTTAACTTATTTTTGGCTTATAATTAATACATGAATATTTTTACATAGTTAATTATAAATGCAAAAACCGTTTTTGTGAAAATTCAATTAACTAATGCAATAAACAAAATTGATCCTATTAAAAAATTCGAAAGTTTTTTAAGACTTCTAGTGATTATTTATCAGTAACTACTTGATCAATTTCGGTAAATTTTTTTATTTTAAT